GCAGAAATAGAAGTATAATGATGTACACCTGAAATTTATACAATGTTATAAACCAATGTTACTGCAATAAACAAAAAATTAAAAAAAAAAAGAAAAACATAAGTCTATCTTTATTTGATGACTGGATATCTTGAGGTCATTAATCCGGATTAAAAGGCAATTTTTAAACTTACAAAACTGAAAATCCATTTAACAACTATTTAATAAGTGCCTCCTATGTGCCAGGACCTTTACTATGTTTTATGGATACAGAGAAGAATGGAAGATGGTGTCCGCTTTTTAGGAGCTTACAATATAATATTTGTAGATATTTAGAAGGTGTAAGACTTTGGACCAATAGTGTAACAATTGCTCTTTTTTTTTCAGATATATTTTTATATTTATTTGTTTATTACTGAAATCTAATTTATGCAGTAAATTTCACCCTTTTCAGTGTATGAGTTTTGACATATGTATACAGTTCTGTAACCACTAACACAATCAAGATATAGAACAGTCCTTTTACCGAAAAAAATTTCCTCATTCCCACTTGTAGTCAGGCACTTCCCTTAATCCGTGCCCTGACAACTGCTGATGTGTTTTCTGTCATTATAGTTTTGCATTTTCTAAAACATCATATGAATGAAACAATACAGTACATAGCCTTTTGAGTTTGGCTTCTTGCACTTAGCGTAATGCATTTGACATTTACACATGTTGCTATGTTATCAGTAGTTCATTCCTTTTTATTACTGAGTATTATTCCATTGTATAGATGTACCATAGTTTGTTTATACATTCAGCTATTGAAGGACATTTGACTTTTTTCCAATTTTTGGCTACTACAAATAAGGCTGCTATGAACATTCATGTACAGGTTTTTGTGTTAACATAACTTTTAATTTTTATTGGATAAATACCAGTAAAGCATTGCTAGGTCATACGGTAAGTGTATGTCAAACTTTATACAAAACTATTTTCAAAAGTGGTATATCAGGACTGGCCTGGTGGCATAGTGGTTAGGTTTACATACTCTGCTTCGGTGGGCCAGGGTTCGCAGGTTCGGATCCTGGGTACAGACCTGCACACCGCTTCTTAGGCCATGCCGTGGCAGGTGTCCCACATACAAAAGTGGAGGAATTTGTAGAAAGAGTTAGGGGGCTTCCCCCCTTCCTCAATTTTTTGGAAGAATTTGAGAAGGACAGGTATTAAGTCTTCTTTGAACGTTTGGTAGAATTCGCCAGGGAAGCCGTCAGGTCCTGGACTTTTACTTTTGGGGAGGTTTTTGATTGCTGTTTCGATCTCCTTACTGGTGATTGGTCTATTCAAATTCTCTATTTCTTCTTGATCCAATTTTGGAAGGTTGTATGATTCTAGGAATTTATCCATTTCTTCTAGATTGTCGAATTTGTTGGCTTATAGCTTTTCAAATTATTCTCTTATAATCTTTTGTATTTCTGAGGTGGTCATTGTAATTTCTCCTCTTTCATTTCTGATTTTCCTTATTTGAGCCTTCTCTTTTTTTTTCTTGGTGAGTCTAGCTAACTCAATGCGTAAAGATACATGCACCCCTGTGTTCATTGCAGCATTATTCACAACAGCCAAGACTTGGAAGCAACCTAAGCACCCATCAAGGGACGAATGGATAAAGAAGATGTGATGTATATACACAATGGAATACTACTCAGCCATAAGAAACGATGAAATCCAGCCATTTGTGACAACATGGATGGACACTGAGGGTATTATGCAAAGTGAAATAAGTCAGAGGGAGAAGGTCAAATACCATATGATCTCACTCATTAAGCAGTAGATAATAAGAACAAACACATAGAAACAGAGATTGGATTGGTGGTTACCAGAGGGGAAGCAGGGAGGAAGGAGGGAGAAAGGGATAATTAGGCACATGTGTGTGGTGATGGATTTTAATTAGTATTTGGGTGGTGAACATGATGTAATCTATGCAGAAATAGAAGTATAATGATGTACACCTGAAATTTATACAATGTTATAAACCAATGTTACTGCATTAAACAAAAAATTAAGAACATAAAAAAATTAAAAAAAAATAAAAGTGGAAGAAGATGGGCACAGATGTTAGCCCAGGGCCAATCTTCCTCAGCAGAAAGAGGAGGATTGGCAACAGATGTTAGCTCAGGGCTAATTTTCCTCACAAATAAAAGAAAGTGGTATATCATTTTGCATTCTCAACAGGAATGTCTGATAGCTCAATTCACACTGCATCCTTGCCAGTACTTGGTATTGCCAGGGATTTCTGGGCTTATTGTTTTGTTTTATTTCATTTGGCTTTGCTCTGTTTTGTCATTCTAATAGGTATGTAATGGTATCTCATTGTGGTTTTAATTTGCATTCTAAGGACTAATAATCGAGTATCTTTTTATCTGCTTATTTTCAATCTCTATATCTTCTTTGGTAACATGTCTATTCATGTCTCTTGCCCATTTTTAAACTGGGTTGTTTTCATTAGTATTGAGTTAGTGAGGTTGCAGTATATAAGGTCAATATACAAAAATCAATCAAGTTTTACATATTAACAATATGTAATTGGTAATTTAAAATAAGTAATACAGTTTTAAAATAATTATCTGTGCCTTAATTTCCTTCTGTAAAGGAAGGAAAAACTGGAATAATAATACCTTCCTGTCTCATTAAGGCCAAATTAGATAAAGGGCATAAAAGTGCTTTGAAAACCATAAGGCACCATACCAAACAAAAAATAGTCACTGTTGGAATAAGGATATATACCTCCAATACCTACCACACCTGCTGAGTAACTATCAGGCATTCAATATGTTCTAATTGGTTGATGAAAACAGGGATAAAATTTTAGCCCCTTTTATCTAAGATCTATATTAGTACAAGCTGACTAGATCAAATAGCATTACAGGAGGTGTTGGGCTTTTTGTTTGTTTTTTATGGCCAGAGTAAGATATTTAGAGGCACTAAGCATTGTAAAATATGTTCCTCCCCAATAGTATATAATTCAAAATAAAAACACTACCAAAGCATAAAATGACTCTACATTTCAAAATCCATAAAACTTTGTTTTTTCTACGATGAATATTTTTACTCCTTAAAAAAACAGTTTCCACTTCCTCAAAGATGGAATATGTGTACTTTTCCTTATTCCTTCTGCTAAGTGCAACTAAAAACTCTGGATATTATATACAAAGAAAACATAAGAAGATTCTGAAAGATGGAGAGAAGAAGACAGACTGGTTAGCAACCTGGGGATCCAAGGAAAGAGAGGGTAGTGAATTCCCTGTGGGTTTTTTTTCCCTTCATATATCTCACACTTGGAGCTAAAGAATTCAGGAACTCAAACACAAACAGGTGCAGACAAAGCAAGTCCTGAAAAAAGCCTGCTCTCCCTAGCCAAGGGACCAAGAAAAGGGAATTCTAGCAATACAGAAAACCTTTAACTGCTCTAATCCAGCCAAACACCACAGAGAAAAGTGTCACAACTCTCACCCATTCCATAAAAGGTCCAGTGGGAAGCCTACACTTCCAATCTCACCAAGCTGTAACAAGTTGTTCCACTCCCCCTTACCTGCCACCCTCACTAGGGATGTAACAGAGAAAGCAGATTAGGGAGCCAGGAATTTTATCTTCACAAACCAGTAATGAGCCCACAACCCTGAAAACCATGATTTCAGTAGAGATCACTTGGGAAACTGGAATCCCCAGCCAGAAGTAACAAGATGCTCTCACTCAAGTGTCTACAGATGCTGAGTGAGGAAACTGGATTTCTACTTCCACCAGGAAGCAATGAATTGGTGCCCCCATCCCTTCCACCACTGCAGTGGAGTCAAGGAAAGCCAGCTACCATAGAAGATTTAAATAAGATCCAGAATCTCGTAACATAATAATGTCCAGGTTTCAATTTAAAATTACTCATCATACTAAGAACCAGGAAGATCTCAAACTGAATATTAAAAAGATAATTAATAGATGCCAACACTGAGATGACAGATATGTTAGAATTATATGACAAGTATTTTAAACACAGTTATAAGATGAATAAGCTCTGGGGATCTAATGTACAGCTAACAGTACTGTAATATATACTTGAAAGTTGCTAAGAGAGTAGATCCTAAATGTTCTCACCTCAAAAAAAAATAACTATGTGAGGTGATAGATGTATTAAATAACCTTAACTAACTTTATTGTGGTAATCAATCCATAATATATATGTCTATAAAATCATCACATTGTACACCTAAATTTACACAATGTTATATGTCAATTACATCTCAATACAGGGAAAATAAATGTTGAAAGCAGTGAGAGAGAAATAGGATCTTACCGACAATGGAAAAACAATAAAATGACAGCAGATTTCTCATCAGAAACCGAGGAGGCCGGAAGGAAGTAGCACAATATGTTTCAAAGGCCAAAAAAACAGAACTGTCAACCCAGAATCTTTTAACCAGGGAAAATATCCTTCAAGAATGAAGGGGGAAATCAAGACATCCTCAGATGAAAGAAAACTAAGGGAATTTTTCGCAAGCACATGCACCCTAAAAGAATGGCTAAAGGAACTTTTCTAATTGGAAAGGAAAGATAAAATGGAAATTTGGAATATGAGAACGGAAAAACAAATATGATAAACAAAAGGATGGGTAAATTCAACAGGCTTTCCTTCTCAGTTTTCTAAATTACGTTTAATGTTTGGAGGAAAATTATAACACTGATGTGGTTCTAAATGTATATAGAGCAAATATTCAAGTCAATTATATTATAAACAGGGGAGGGTAAAAGGACATAAAAGGAGGTAAGTTTTCTATACTTCATTCAACATGTAAAGTGATGGCACTAGTAGACTGTGGTAAGCTATGTATATATAATGTGTGTGTGTGTGTGTGTGTGTGTGTATGTATACCTAGAGCAATCACTTAAAAGAGTACACAAAAAGATACACTCAAAAACACTATAGAAAAATCAAAACTAAATTCTAAAAAACAATCATGTAACTCCTAGAAAGGAAGGATAAAGAAAACAAATAAAAAACAGACAGAACAAACAAAAACAAAAAATTTATATGACAAGCTTAAGCTAACATATCAATAATCACATTAAATATAAATGTTTGACATAACCAAGTGATATTTATCTCAGGAAGGCAAAGTTGTTTCAACATGCAAACATGAATCAATGCAACAAACCATATTAGTAGAATAAAGGAAAGTAAAATACATGGTCATCTCAATAGACGTGGAAAAAGCATTTGACAAAATTCAATATTCCTTCATGATAAAAAACTTAAACTAAGAAAAGAAAGTATTTCCTCAACTCTATAAAGGGAATCTGCTAAAAACCAACAGAACATCATACTTAATGTTGAAAGATTAGATGCCTTCCTCCTAAGAAGAGGAAAAAGACAAGAATGCTTGCTCTTGCCACTACCCTTCAACATTGTACTGGAGGTTCTAACCAAGGCAACTAGACAAGAAAAAGAAATAAGAAATCAAGGTTGGAAAGGAAGAAACAAAATTACCTCTTTTTGCAGAGGGCATGCTCTTGTATACACAAAATCCTAAATAATACACACACATACACACACACATACATCTATTAGAACTGATAAGTTCAGCAAGGATACGAAATTCAAGATCAATATAAAAATAATGTGTATTTCTACTCATCAGCAAAGAGCAACCAAAAATGAAATTAAGAAAACAAATTGCATTTATAATAGCACCAAAAGGAATAAAATACATAAGAATAAATTTATCAAAAGAAGTGTATGACTTGTACAATGAAAACTATAAAATACTGTTGGAGAAAAACTAAAGAATACCTAAATAAAAGAAAGATATCTCATGTCCACAGATGGGAAGACAATGTTGTTAGGATGGCAATATTTCCTAAAGCAATCTACAGATTCAACACAATCTCTATCAAAAAACCTGCTAGCTTTTTTGCAGAAAGTGACAAGCTAATCCTAAAATTCATATGGAAGTTTAAGTGACCCAGAATAGACAAAACAACCTTGAAAAAGAAGATTAAAGTTAAAGGACTCATACTTCTCAATTTCTAAACATACTACAAAGTTATAGCAATCAGGACAGAGTGGTACGGGCATAAAGTTAGACATATAGGTCAATGCAATATTTAAAACTCATTAATAAGCCCTTACATTGATGGTAAATTGATTTGTACAATGATGACAATTCATTGGGAATTTTAACTTTTTAAAAGTTAACAGATTTTCATTTTCTTAGAGCAGTTTTAGGTTTATAGAAAAATCGATGGAAAGTACAGAGAGTCCCCAGATATCTACTCTCCCCACCACAGAGTTTCTCATATTACTTGTATCTTGCACTTGTGCAACATATTTTTTTTATATTTGATAAACCAATTTTGATATATTTTTATTAACCAAAGTCCATGGTTTACATTAGGGTTCACTCGTTGTGTTGTACATTTTATGGGTTTTGTCAAACATATAATGACTTGTGTTTATCATTACTGTATCATGCAGAATATTTTCACTGCTCTAAAAATCCCCTGTGCTCCACATTGTTGTCCCTCACTCCTTCTTCCTGAACCCTCGGCAACCAGTGATCCTTTTTACCGTCTCCATAGCTTTAGCTTTTTCAAAATATCATATACTTGGAACCACACAGTGTGTAGCCCTTTCATATCGTCTATAAGAACAGCCATTTTAACAAATGGTATTGAGACAACTGGATATCCATACTCAAAAGAATGCATTTGTAGCCATCTCACACCATACATAAAACAACTCAAAATGGATAAAAAATTAACACAAAATGGATTCTGGACCTAAATGTAAGAACCAAAACTATATAACTCTTAAAAGAAAACACAGAAGTGAATCTTGGTGGCTGTGGATTAGGCAATGTTTTCTTAGATATGAAACAAAAAGTACAAGTAACAAAAGAAAAATAGAAAATTGAAATTCATCAAAATTTAAAAACTTTTTTGCTTCAAAGAACACCATCAAGACAGTGAAAAGAGAACCTATAGAATGGGAAAAAATATTTGCAAATTATATATCATATGATACTTGTGTCTATAAAAATCAAAAATTAAAAAAAAATCAGTTAAAAAATAGACAAAGGATTTGAACAGAAATTTCTCAACAGAAGAAATACAAATAGCCAAAAAGTACCTAAAAGATGTTCAACATTATTAGTCATTAGAGAATGCAAATCAAAAGCACAATGAGACACCACTTCACATCCTCTGGGATGGCTATAATAAAAAGAAAGACAATAACAAGTGTTGGTAAGAATGTGGAGAAATTGGAGCTCTCATATATTGCTGGTGGGAGTGTAAAATGATGAAGCCACTTGGGAAAACAGTTTGGCCATTCCTCAAAATGTTAAACACAGAGTTACCATATGAATCAGCAATTCCACTCCTAGGTATATACCCAAATAATTAAAAACATACATCTACCCAACAATATGTACGTGAATGTTCATAGTAGTATCATTCATAATAACTGAAAAAGATGGAAACAAACCAAATGTTCATAAACTGATAAATGGGGAAATAAAATTTGGTATATCTATAAAGGGGAATATTATTTAGCCATAAAAAGGAATGATGGACTCATACATACTACAACATGGATATACCTTGAAAACATCATGCTAAGCAAAATAACCCAGAATTAAAAGGCCACATGTTCCATGATTTTATTTCATCATTTCAATTCATTCATTTCAGAGTAGGCAAATTTATAGACAGAAAAAGTTGATTAGCGGATGCCATGGGCTAGAGCTTGGGGAGTGACTGCTAATTGGTGTGAGGTTTCTTTTTAGGGTTATGAAAATCTTCTCAAGGTACAAAGTGAGGTTCATTGCACAACTCAGTGAATACATTAAAAAACACTGAATTGTATACCTTTAAATGATGATGGCATGTATATTGTATCTCATGAAAGTTGTAATGAAATATGCAAATAGTCTAAATATACCAATTAAAAGACAGAAATTATTGGCAGAGTGGATTAAAAAACATAATTCAACTACATGTTTTCTACAAAAAACTCACTTCAAATATAATAATATAGTCAAGTTGAAATCAAAAAGATGGAAAAAGATATGTCATACAAACATTAATGAAAGCAAATCAGGAGTGGTTATATTAATATCCAATAAAGTAGACTTTAGAGCAAAGGAAATGACCAGAGACAAAGAGAAACATTATATAATAATAAAAGTATTAATCTGCCAAGACGCAATAGCAATCCTAAATATATATGCCCCAAACAACAGAGCCACAAAATATGTGAAGCAAATACTGATAGACCTGAGAAGAAAAGAGAAAAAATCCACAATTATAGTTGGAGGTTTCACAACACTGCTCTCAGCAGTTGATAAAACAAGTAGATAGAAAATCAGTAAATATAGAAGAACTCAACAACATCATCAATCAACAAGATCTAATTGATATTTCTGAAAAGCCTCACCCAAAAGCAGGATTACACATTCTTTTCAAATGCTCATGGAAAATATACCAAGCTAGACCAATATCCTGAGCCATAAAAAAAAAAAACTCAACAAATTCAAAAGAATTGAAATCATACAAAGAATAATCTCAAACCACAATGAAATGAAACTAAAAATCAATAACAGAAAAATAAGGGGAAATTCTCGAAACACTTGGAAATGAAACAATGCATTCCTAGATAAACCATGGGACAAAGAGGTCTCAAGGAAAATCAAATCAATACACTGAACCAAATGAAAATGAAAATAAAACATATCATAATGTATGAGACACCGTCAAAACAGTGCTAAGTTGGAAATTTCTAACAATAAATGCATCCCTAAAATAGTAAAATTCTTGAATAAATAACCTAAGTTCCTATCTCAGGAAAAAGAGGAAAACAGAGCAAAAGAGGAGACTAGAGGAAAAAGAGCAAAATAGACCCAAAGAAAACAGAGGGAATATATATAGATTGAAAGACAAATATATGAAATTGAAAACAGGAAAAAAGTCAATGAAACAGAGCTGGTTCTTTGTAAACATAAATAAAATTGACAAACCTCTGGCAATACTAATGAAGAGAGAAAGAAAAGACCTACAAATTTCAAGAATGAAATATCAGTACTTAAATGGGGGATATCACTATAGAACTTGACCTCAAAAGATAACAATAGAATACTGTAAACAACCCTATACATACACAGTAAGCAACTGTGATAAAAAGGACCACTTTCTCAGAGTCAAAACATCACCTAATATAAAGTAGATAATTTGAATAGCTAAATATATACTAAAGAAATTGCATTTGTAATTTTTTAAAAATTCTGAAAAAGAAATGCCAAGGCCCACATGTTTTCACTGCAGAATTCTACAAAATGTTTAAATAAGAATTAACATCAATTCTACATAATCTTTTCCAGAAAATAGAAAAGGAGGAAAGACTTTCCAATTATTTTTTAAAGCTAAAATTATCTCAATATCAAAGCCAAAGACAGTACAAAAAAAAAGAAAACTCAATAGTTGCAAAATTCCTTAACAAAATATTAGCAAATAAATTTCAACAATACATATAAAGAATTAAACACCATGACCAAGTGGGTTTTATTTCAGAGATGCAAGGATGGTTCAATACTTGAAAATCAATTGATGCCATTTTCCATATAAACAGACTAAAGAAGAAAAATCACATAAACACATCAATTGATGTAGAAAAGCATTTAACAAAATTCAACACCCAGAATTTAGATGTTGAAACTGGGAACATAGAAGATCTTCCGCAACTTGATAAGAGCTTCTACAAAAAACCCTACAGCAAATCTGGTTTCCAGTTCAACAAGTAAAGAGCTTAGAAGATACCACTCCATGCTAATAACGAGTGAAAAGCTGAAAAAACTGAAAACCAACAACTCTTCTTAGAACTGTCAGAGAAGTGAGGTCACAGAACAAACTGCTGCTCTTAAAATTGGAGAGACAGACATGCAAATACAGAGAATCACAACTTACAGAAGCAGAAACCCATCAGCAGAAACTTCTGAGAGAACCAGTGCCAGGTAGGAAAACCTAAACTAATTGATGAATTGCAGTAGGCTCAGTGTGGACAAGTCTAAGAGTTAAAAACTCCAGGGGGACCCAGTCGTAGAGACGACCCCATGCTTTTTTGACTGCTACCTCCAAGAGTTCTACTAGGTCTTTACATTTAGTATCAGAGAAAAGTCCCTTTGTACTTGTGGCAGGAGGAGGGGAAATGTAACCATTTTGAAATACTTCAGAGCATTCTGGTCTTCTTAACCAGGTCGGATTTCAGGAAAAACTATTTTACTAGAGCCTTAACTCCTAGAGTTTTATCAGAGCCTAACCTACCTGGTGGAAAAAAATTCCCTACTCCAGCCTGCTTTAGCCTTGCATATGGAGGAAAGGAAATATCCAAATCCAGTACCCTCTAGCCTTTCATGTGTGGGAAAAGGAATACCCAACAACAGCCCCCTCTAGCCATCCCGTCCCACTTAAGGAGGGGGGAAGTACTGAGAAGCACTGATGAAGTTTACAATCCAGAGTCACAGGCTCACCAAAAGACTGAAACCTAATCATAGAATACCTCCCCATCCTCCAAACCACACTGCCACACTGTTAAAGACCAATTTACTGGAGTTCCTTTGACCCATATGCCCAAATTTCTACAAAAAATTAAAAGGCATACTAAAAGGCAAAAAACACAGTTTGAAGAGACGGAACCAGCATCAGAACCAGAATAACATATGACAGGGATACCAGAATTATCAGACTGGGAATTTAAAAGAACTGTAGTTACTATGTTAAGGGCTCTAAAGGAAAAAAATGAGAACATGCAAGAATTGATGGATAACGTAAGGAGAGAAAGGGAAATTCTAAGAATCAAAAAGAAATGCTAGAGGACAAAAACTGTAACAGAAATGGAGAATGCCTTTGATGGGCTCATTAGGGGATTGGACAGAGCTGAGGAAAGAGGCTCTGAGCTTGAGAATATGTCAATAGAAACTACTAAACTGAAAAGAAAAAAGAGTGGAAACAAAAAACAGTATGACTATTCAACAACTGTGGGACAACTGAAAAAGATGTAACATATATGCAATGGTAATACCAGAAGGAGAAAAGAGAAAAAGGAACA